TTTCTCCTCTGTCCAGAGAGCCAGGTATGGATTGGACAGAGGTGCCTTTGGCCTGATGAAAAGCCCTTTAAGTTTGTACTTAGATGACAACCAAAATAAATTTAAAAATTTTGAGCTCATGCCTGAATAGTATATAGTCATTATTTTATCAATTAACATACTGACTAGTCTATAGTGGATCTAACTGAGAGGTTTTATTTTCTCTCTGTGGAAGAGGGACATGGAAAAGACTGACCTTGTTTTGTCTAGGCAAAGGGGTACAATCAATTTTCCAGCGTCCAGCAGCTTTGTCCACAGTCTCGGCCAGGTTCTGGCAGGCGGCAGGTTTCATATCTGAGCATCTGCTCATTGGTCCAGGTGCAGGAACTGAGGTGCCTGTAATCTTCGGGTCATTGTCAGGATCTGGCAGTCTGTCTGACATTATAAACTTTAAAGATAACAATTTAAATGCCATATTCTGAAGATCTCTGAAGCATTAGAGGTCTGTTTGTCTGTTTTAATTACTTGCCTTAAGCACACATTAAGTATACAGGTGGCTAGGTAAGGTCTTATTTCTGTAAATAATTTTTAGTCTGACTGTAACTGGTTTTAACTTAGTAAGATGTTTGAAACAGCACAGCTGAACTTAAAACTGCATAGAGCTACCTTATATTCCTTAAACAGTAGCTTAACTTCTTTCTTAGGCAGGGTTTTTCTGTGACTTTGGAGCCTGTCCTGGAATTCGATCTGCCGGACCAGGCAGGCCTTAAACTCATAAAGATCTATCTGCCTCTTATTCCCGAGTGGTGGGATTAAAGGCATGTGTCACCAATGTTCTAAACTTTAAGGCGTGTGCTACCTATACCCTGAGCTTAAAGGTGTGTGTTACCAACATCCTAAATTTATTTCTAAAATATAAACTGTAATATCTTATAATAGATCAGCATCTTTCATAAAACAAAAACTTTACATTGTCAGGCTTTGCTCAAAAAAAATTCTAAATTGAAGCTCTTTAAGTATAAATATTAATAAAAACAAATATTAAAAAACTGTTTTTTTTAAAGAAATTTAAATTCCCTTAAGGTCTTTCTGTAATATATAGAAGCATTAACATTTTAAATCTTAACTGAAAAACTTGTTTCTAAGATGGTATCTCTAATTTCCATGCGGTCATCTTTAGTCAAGATGGCGGTTTAAGTATTCTTTTTTTAATTTTAGCAAAATGGCGACCAGTCAAGCCATGTGACCATTTTGCCATGTGCTGGCTACCAGGAAGCAGAACATTTTAAAACAAGTATATATAATTTTTTGAGAAATAAACAGGACCTTTTAAAACAGAATTAGCTTAATATGGTTAAACATGAGAAACCATAGCATAGTTTATATTTTTTTTTCTGACTTTTAACAACCTTTTTTTTTCTGATCTTTTACAGCTTGCTTTAACCCTCTATTACTTTCTGTAACAATCTTTTCTGCTATGACTTGCTTTAATTCTCTATAACCTTTAGTTCATTTCTCTGACTCTCTTAGACACTTTTAGACAAGTTTTCTTTTTTTATTATTTAAGTCTCCTACATTTTTCCTCTCATTTCTCAGTCAACATAAAAATTTTGTTAAAGTCTTTTTACAGTTCTTAATAACTTTAAGGCCGTTTAGATGTCCTGGTGGGGGCTCCTCAGTCAATTCTCCTGGGGGGAGTACCTCAGGTGTCTTCTCTTTTACCTGAAATATAGTTTGGGGTTTAAAGGTATCATCCCGCGGCCAGCCCATGTCAAAGGCTGGCCATTCTGAGGAACAAAGAGTAATCCATTTGCTTTTATGCACATCAACTATAAAACAAAGACCAAACAACACAGAACAGGCTTTCGCAGCGCGGTTTCGA